AAGTGTCAGGAAGTATATCTCTTCCCGTCGGCGTCGTGTCGCTAAAATAATAAAAATAAAAAACACAAAGAACGAAGAAAAAACTACTAAAAATATCTAAATACAACTATTCGAGAAACACTTATCTAGCAGATACGTCTATGGCAAAATAAAACTGGCCTCTGTTGAGCAGTCTCAGACACTGGCTTTTGTCAAACTTTACTTTTGTCAAAGCCCTGAGAATGCATGATGAGTTATATAGTAACTCGTTATAACTCAAGAAAGGGGAACACACAATAGATCTGTAAGGTCGCGGTGATTAACCCCCCTACCAAACCTTCTACATGGCAAAATAAAACACTAATTCGCCACAAATTACCAAAACACTTTAGCACTGGACGCACGTTTCGCTACCCATGTTAGCATTATCAGCAGATGATTAAAACTGAAGTCAGTTTAACTGAAACTTAGTTACATGTTCTTGGTTTGGTTTGGAACCTATAACATGGTTAGCGAAACACGCGTCCAGTTTAAAATAAAGTGTTTTGGTGTATTGTGGTGAATTAGTGTTTTATTTAGCTAACACCAAAGATTTCAACCCCCAACTGTAATCTAAGATACTTCAAATCTAAGATACGTTTATTATAAACCGTTGACGTTCTGTAAAAATGACATGATATGAAGTCAAACTTCAATCTAGAGAACCACTAATATCTAGATCGGAGATTTTTTGCACATCATTGTTTTACAACGAGATTATATCGATTAAAAATATTTTCAATATGGCGGCACTTCCGGAATTACCGGAAGTTGACAGCAACTTTCTTATTTTAAATGGGTGCCCCCATTTTTTATTACATACTTAAATTCTCTGTAAAATTCTATGAATATTGATGTTAAACACTCATATCTAACATTAACCGTTTTTGAGAAAAAAATTATTTAAAATTTTTGGACGAAAAAAACTACCTGTCAAAAAAGTTTGTATAGCCTAAAAGTCAAATTTAGTGATTACCACGGCCACTGTGACATAAAGAGAAGACATGTGGCTATCTACTTCAAAAAAATGACTTATGTTAATTTTTAAATAGCTCAATTCTATGACAGCTGCGGCTATTATTATATGACATTCGAACAATTTAATTTGTGAAATAGATAGCCACATGTTTTCTCTTTATAACACAGTGGCTGTGGTAATCACTAAATTTGACGTTTAGGCTATACACATATTTTTAAAAGGCAGTTTTTTTCGTTCAAAAATTTTAAATATTTTTTTTCTCAAAAACGGTTAATGTTAGATATAGATTGTTTAATATCAAAATTCATAAAATTTTACAGAGAATTTAAATACATAATAAAAAATGGGGGCAGCCATTTAAAATAAGAAAGTTGCTGTCAACTTCCAGTATTTCCGGAAGTGCCGCCATATTGAAAATATTTTTAATCGATAGATCTCGTTGTGAAACTATGATGTGCAAAAAATCTCCGAGCTAGATGTTGTAGTTTTCCAGAAACTTCTAATGCATGCTCCGCCTGGGACACCCTGTATATGATTAGTTTTTCTATTTAAATCAAGACCGCTGTTAGTTTATGTATATGTCAATTTTTATGGAAAATGTTACCGATCGTCATTTCCAACACAACTTAACGACGTTTTTTTCAATCATATCGTCGTTAATTTCACAAACTGACGTATCTCAAAAAATGCCTGTTTTGAGATACAGCCACAATCTCAAACCTAATATGATACTCTTTCATCTCACGAAGTGTCGTATCCCTGCGTCCTATACTTTTTCGTCAAGTAAATAATTTAGCAAATGTTTATTTACTTTAACCGATATCCAAAAGTTAACAAAATCTTTAGACCTCCATTCTGGAAAATTATGAAATATGAGATACGACACTTTGTAAAATTAACGACGATATATGCACTGTTGTCTTAATGTAAATTTTATTACATGCATTTCCTGTATAACCATATTTGCACCTGTCAGGTGTACTTGACTAAAAATCAGTGCTAATGGACTGTTGAGTACTATTAGTCGATGTTTATGTTACACAAGTAAAATTACAATTACTACTATAAAAAAAATAAAGATAGAAAATATAAAACGTTTTTTAAAATAATTTTCTATAAAAATATAAAATATATAATTTTTATTTACTTAACTGAAAATTTAGTTATTCAACAACTTATAAAGATAAATTTAAAAGATAATTGGATAACTGATATCCAAAATATTGATATTTAACTAAAAAAATAAAAAAATAATGTTTTTATATATAAACACTTTACCCTACTTTTATGGCTTTTGGGTATTCACATGGGAAATAAACATTCCAATATCTATTTATCTACCAAAAAAAGCATAATTACATTTTAATCATCTCTATTAAATTGCACTTTTTTCATTTTTATAAATAAACCTTCTTCAGCAAATAATGCTATAGTAAACTAAAATAATGCAAATTAACTTAACCCTGACGCCAAAAGTAAAGAGAAAAAATCAGCATTACTTTCATAATGAATCAACCAACTGTCCTGCATTAGAACAGAATGAGATTTATTTTTACCTAGACTTAATTCATTTCGAGAATTCCGCCAACATCATTATTAATATTAATAAACCTTTATACATGGTGTCCAAAATACAAATTCCAAAAAAGTACCTTAATAAAGAAAAAAAGTTCCGTTCACAGACACAAAAAAACATCCTTATAGGTACAGGGTGAGTCAACGACAGAGTAAAGTCCATTATCTCATTTGTTTCGAGGTTTACAAAAAAAATGTTTAACATAAAAATTAACCTTTAAGCCTACATTATTATTGTTCTATAGGATCTAATATCAAAAATAGATTACTACTGTAGTAGTTGTTTAATAGTATTTTGAGATACTCAGTGAATAAAAAACTACGAGATTAAACGTGAAAAAGAACACGAACCAGAAAACCAAATTGCTTCTCAAACGTGCACAAATGTTTATTCCACTCGGAACTATTGACTCAACGGAATGCTAAAAATAAGCTTTACGTTACCCCATTGGCGAACGAACATTTTAAACATAATATAGCCGAATAATTTCGAATATTCTTTTTCCGGGAATTTTCTCAAGTATAATTCATCACAGTAAAGTGCGATTCATAGGATGATGAATTGATATAAGGAACTGTTCGGATAAAGTCTGGCAAAATACCAAAAATGATTTATTTTCATACGCATCAAGTTTTATTCCTTTCCTTTATTTTCTTTGTCGTTACAAAATAATACATATTCGTAGATTTTTGGCTAATAATATACTAAGAGTTTGGCCTGGAGTCATAATTTCCTCACAAACACTTGATTTTCTTTGCATTATTTTATTGTAGACGGGAATAGTGATGTAAAGGGTAATATTACACATACACAATATAAATTATATTGTGTATGTGTTGAAATTGTATTTATATACTTTTTAACATTGCTAAATGGTCTTGCAGACGCTTTGTTCTGTGCGCTCGGGGTTTCTTTTTGCTTTGCCGGTGATCCTCTGTTTTTCTTACGGGTTTATTTGTTGTTGGTATATTATTGTATTGAAAATGAAATTCTGTTTAGTTATTTTTTACAGGGAGTGTGCCACACTGATGCCTTTGGCAATCAGTGAATCGGTTTTGTAATCGCGGTGCACTCCTTATTAGGCTATTAGGCTATTAGTCAGCCAAAGTATGGTTTGTATTTTGTATATTTTTTATATTGGGGCCTAATAAAAAGATTTGATTTGATTTGATTTGATTACCGCAGTGATATTATCGGTAATTTGAGTAATATTACCGCAAGATCGGAAACATTGGAAATATTGCTTTTTTCCCGTTCTACTGTTTTCCTTTTTGTGGTGAAAATAAGATGGGGCTGCTTTGTTTCTTATCTAAAAAGCTTATCAGTTGATAATAGCTCAGATATTTCTGATGTTCTTTCACCAAACACAGTAAGCCTTCCGCTTCGAAACGAATTTTGGCTACAAATACAAGCAACTTATATGACTTGTTTGCTTTTTTGAAATAAGGTCTATATTATGTAGCAGAGTAGCAGACTCGTCCGTTGCTATGTGGGAAAACAAAAAAATGTGTGCAATTCTGGAAAAACGAGCAAGTAAATGTTTAAGACCTGCTCATCTTTACTTTCTGCTTATCGATTATAATCAAATCTACGCCGCGAAAATTTAACCGATGCTGAAAATTTATTTGCACGGAGTTCAGTTCATCTATGAAATCGCAAGGCATCGTCCAAAGTATTTTTCATAAGTAAATCTCATTGTGGAAGCACTGACTGGTATAATATAAATTAGAGGTAATATTTTTGCTAAAGAATTCGTCCTTTCCAACGAAAATCTACGTCTGCATCTGTCTGGTGGGCAGGAATTTGCTCCAGCTCTAAAATAAGTATGTTGGCTATAGACAATTTAAATTTACCATCGCAAACAGGCCGCAACCGAAAGAACCTTTAGTACTGCGGAAAGGGGCGGAAATCTTACTTATATTGCCCATACTTATAATTTACTAAACGGAGAATAACGTCCAAGAATGGTAGAGGCTGCTGAGAAAGAAATGAAAAAAAAAATGAATTTCGAAGTGTAATAGATTTGATTCAATTAACAAAAGAGAAAGAACCAGAAAATATGACAAGACTGAGGATAATTTACCATTATCCACTCTATTACGTAGGCCACTCTGACGAGCTGAAAAAACGTTCTTGTCTTTTTTTCTATGTTTTTACAGTTTTGAAATAAAAAAAAAAATATTTAAATTTGAAGTTTTTTGGAATATAATACTCGTTAATTTAGCTACTAAATAATTATTGCAAAATTATATACAAAAAAAAAGAATTTGTGAATCCCCTTGAATTGAAAAATCCAAATCTAAATAGAACAAGAACTATGATAGCGTTAAACAATAACTCTCTTAGATTAATTTAACTAATTTATTGCAACGAAAGCTTAACTATGTATACTTTTCTATCACTTGAGTACATTGAATGCTTAAAATAAAAGGATTGCACAGTTCGTTATTAGTCTAACAAGAACCAAAAGCATGAAGTACCAAAAATTAGTTGGTATTGTCTTGGTGTTTGCTGTATCTTTGGGATATTCCCAAGCAGAAAAAGAAATTAAACTTGAAATTGAACAAAAGATTGCAGATGGGTATGTAGTACTAAATAATAACATCTTATGATTTTCAATTTCCTCTACCTCCAGCCTCCAGTATAGAGACCTAAATTGTCCTCTTACCAAACTGTCAAGAAATTATACAGTTGAACACAGAGAGAGTGTGACATTCTGGTAAAAAGACATTTCTATTCTAAAAACATAATAATTTTTAATAGTCTGAAACTTATGATTTTCAAATTAGCTATATATTCTTTATCAGAACGTTATAAAGTTAGTGTGTACTTATTGCACATGAATGATTATTTTCACTTAATCCACACATTTTTAGCCGACCATACCAATAGGTATAGTAGACTATTAAGATCGGCAAAAAAAGTTTTTTTTTAATTTCACTCAAAATGAGTTATTTGGGTCATAAATGACCTAAATACAAAATATTTTCATGTGTCTGTCTGTCTGTCCGTCCGTCTGTCTGTAACACGATAACTCAAAAACCGCTAAACCGATTTTAACCAAATTTGGCACAAATATACTGTGGCACCCGAGAATCTGGTCATTACTTTTTGGTGGGGGTGGGGGGTTTTCAGGGGGTATGGGAGGGGTTTAAAATTTTTAAAAAATTGTAACTCCAAAATTACAGTAGCTACCGAAACGCGGTTTTCAATTTAAGATTAGGAATAATATTTGCAACAAAATTTGTAATAACATCAAAATCAGTCAAAGTCGCAGTTTTTGAGATAATTGATTATTAACATATTTTAGTATGGGCGGCTATACGTGCCTCCCGGCACCAATTTTTTTATTATCAAATTAAAAGAAAAAAACTGATTCTGTACCGGCTGGTTATCCACATATGTTTTTGAGTACACACAATATTTGTATTTCATTTTTATTTATTCACATTTGTTTTGATGTACCCGCAAGTACAGAACCTATTCTCGTAATTCTTTGCCAGCAGTGCTTTTTTGCCGACCGATTAATCATAAATAATATTTTTAGTAATTTCGAATAACTCTACGAGAATATTTACTATTTCAGAGTTACTGCAGAATGCACGGCCCAAAATGTTACTGCCGTTAACGCAACAAAAGATGCTAGTGACTTTCAACTGAGAGGCATCTACACTTCTTATGGAGATTTAAATCTTGGTTACGTAGGAAGATACGACCAATTGCTATTCAATAGGGTAATATAAAAAAATAAAATCATTAAAAACATATCAAACCAGGTCTAGTTCCCAGTTCTCAATCCCCAGCTTATAACGTGCTCAATGTTTCTCATTTTCTGTGATTCATTGTTTCTTCTTCTCTTCCTTTAACTCTCGAATGGGTATGGTGACATCATGACGTCTCAATTGCGCGAAGAGTTGTTCTCCATCCCTGTCTATCTTGTGCGGCTAATGAAAGTTCTTGTAGAGCGTGACCAATAATTTCTTTAGTTTGGTCCACCCAGCGCGTCGGAGACCTTCCTCTTGGTCGTTTGCCATTAATCTTTCCATCGATGATTCGCCATTAATCTTTCCATCGTGTTCTTGTCAAAATGCGCCCAAAGTACCTAAGGTATGACAGGTTTATTTTAGTCAAAGTCTTGACTTTCAACTGCCTTAGAATTGAGACGTTGCGTTGGTCCGATGTTCTGTATATGAAATTCGCAGTTTTCTTCTGTAGGCACACATATCGAAAGCATCCATTGCTACCAGCATTTAAATGAATTCTCTGGTTCTGAGTTTGTATGGTTCTGAGAGGATGGTTTTGGCTTACCCCATCCGGGGACTGCTGCTCCATTTTTGGAACCGTTCGCTTACTAATATTTATTTCCGTTTGTTATAAAATCGCCCAAATCATTGTTATTTTAAAAATCAAGCCTATGTACGTATATTATTTAAAAAATCGAAACATATATAAAATTGCTTTTCAAAGATATATTATGTTCATATACCTAAACCTTCTGGTTTCTTCAGTAAAGCCATTTAAAAGATAATAATTCTATGTCTTGTAGCTGTTTTGTTTAAAGAACACCGTTACCATGACAAATATTCAAACTTTATAAGTAACAACAAAGGTATCAATTAGATTTTTCTTGCTAAATTTCCAAAATTGTCATGGTAACGAAATTTTTGAGATGAAATTATAATAATAGAATTATTAATTTTTAAAGTGCTCTAAGGTTCTTAAGAAACCGTAAGGTTTAGGTGTAGGAACATGATGTATCGCTGAAAAGCTATTTTATTAGCGTTTTGATTTTTTAAATAATATGCATAGAGTTGAATTTAAATAATAAAGATTAGAGAATTTGGTTAACAAACGGAAATATAAAATTAATAATTTTTTTTAAATATTAATTTTATATTTCCAAAAATAATAAAATGTATTTTTGCGAAATAATTTTTGCTCTCCCTGTGTATCTAATCAGTTGGTTTCTGACTGTCGATAATTTATAATCCAAATTTCAAATTCAAATTCTAAAATGTTCAATTCATGATTTTATCAATGCTCATTCAAGATCCTGTTTTTGTCAATTTTACACATGCTTTTTTATTATCTCAAAAATTGTTAGAGGGTAGTATAATAGAAAAATTATGAAAGTAGTTTCCAAAAATGTAATAATATACCGGGTGTTCCATTTAAAATAAGAAAGATGCTACTAACTGTCAAATGATGCGGCGACATTGTAACGCTGAAAATATTTTAGATAGATGGAACAGATGCCTTTATCTAAAAATCCAAATGTTGAATAAAATTCTATCACCGGTTCTCCATAAACGTCTACCGTGCCATCGTCGTGAATCACCCTATATATGCAGTTACTTAATATTTTTACAAGTGCCAATTCCATTCTTTCAATATCTGCATCTGGGTGATTAGTAAACCAGAAGAGATACAAAGATGATTAAATTAGACAAAAGCTGCTTTTTGCTGAACCCTACTCATGATTCAAAATTTAAAAATAAAATCCAATTACTTCCGAAAATGGGGAAAATATTTTTTTCCGATTCTATATGAAAACGATATTATAATACAAAATTACACGTCGCCATTTCGTTCTTAGATTAGTTTCGTGTTATTAGATTTAAAAAAAATCATTTGTGGAGAATTTTCAGTGTTAAATAATTTCTGTGATGCCAGGACTACTATATCTTCATTTTTTCTGGTTCATTTTGTGTACGTAAACGTAAAATATTCCGTAGTAGGCCTTTTAAATCTTCCTCATGCATATCATTAAACCCCTCTCCAGGCAACGATTTTTTTGTCGTTTCTTTTTATACGTTAAACTCGAAAACTCGATATCAATCATTCGTGTTTTTCTTTATTAGCAACCATTTATTATAACAGTTTACGAACTGCTTGGATAGCATTATTTTTTAGAAAATCCTTGAAATACTTATATAAGACGAATATTAAAATTGCAGATCTACTATGCCAATTACGGAGAACTAGTACTAAGAGTATACAGTCCTTACTACAGATTATCAGCCATTCGTATCCACAATTACCATTATGGCGGATACAGCCCCAGCGTTTCTATATTGGATGGAGCCGTTGGGTATCAGCACGTGATGATAAGCATGCGATCTATGAGCTATAGCTACAACACGCCGTTCCAGTACTCAATCCAGCTGTACGGATTCTAGAAAAATATCCTCAAAACAGTTCTGCCCTTAGCGATCAACAAATGCTAGACTACCTTGGTCTTGGTATTGCAGTTAATAAATAGTCTTGTCTTGGTCTTGCTACAAGACTCTTGCAAGTCTTGCAGCAGCTTGCTTTTTGTGCAATCCAAGACCAAGACTGCAAGACCACGGCCAGTCATCAGTATCTGCGCTACATGCAATTATACAGGGCGAGTCTTAAATAAGTGCAAATACTTTTAGTGGTAGTATATTTCGACACCAGAAACACGATAAGGTTTTTTCGGAAATTTTTTTTTGGAAATTTTAGAATTTTTTGAAAAAAATTTTGGATTTTTTTTTAGTTAAAAAACATAATTTCTTGATAATACGATAACATAAGTAATAGATTAAATTTACAAGAAAAAAAACAGAAAATATCCAGTGGTTCTCAAAATTTAAGCAAAAAAATATTTTTTTTTGGAAATTTTCAAAGTAAAATAGGTAACTCGGTTATTTTGGACTTATTTGAAAAACGGTAAAGAGAAAATATGTTTCTTTTATCGAGATCTACCAACTCTGAAATATAACACTTATTTAAGACTCACAAATAATTACCAATATCAAAAATGTCGACACTATATTTTCACTCAATAACTAATCCTATAGAAAGCTTTTTACCAGGAATCATATTTTTTGGTTATTGTTTATACAGATTTGTTTACTGATAATTTAGCAACAATAAAGTTAATAATTTTATTGCCTGTTTTCTATTCCCACCAATAAAACGTTCTAAATTAATAATATTGTTCTGTTTATTTGTAAAGTGTTCAAATTTGAAAAAAAAATAAATAAATAGAAGGCTTCAAGTTTTTCGTTAACTCGTTTATGGAAATATTATTGATTTTGGAATGGCGCCAGCCACTGAGTAATCATAGCAAAACTACCTATAAATAAATAACCAGGGAAAAAAATGTGAATCCCCCTAATGGCAAAATCCACATCAAACACAATTAGAAACTTTACGATTATTTCTAACAAAAATTAATCTAAATTTACTACAGCTTAAGCCTGAAGTAAATACAATATTATAATACTTGACTATATATAAATTAAAATAAAAGGACTGCACATCATACTGTAAGTTATTACTAGTCCAACTAGAACCAAAAACGTGAAGTGCCAAAAAGTAGTATGTGCTGTCTTGGTGTTCGCTGTTTGCTTGGGCTATTCCCAAGCAGACAAACAGATCCAGCCCAAAGTTGAACAAAGGATTGAGGATGGGTATGTATCATCATCATCATCATCATTTTCAGCTTATTCAACCATTTCTAATTATGGTGTAGCCTCCCTCACATACTCTGTAGTTGGGCCCATTGTTGTCTATTGTTGGCTATGCGGGCCCAAGTTATCCCTGCTAATTTCCTAATATCGTGGTCCCATCTCAGGTTGGGTATTCCTCTGAAAGGTCGGCTATCCCAAGGAAAATATCATTTTTAACATATATGTATATGTATACTTGGTCATTATCTATCTATTGCAATCGTACAATTTAGATTTACAGCAAAATAACGAAGATAGAGACTAAAAAACCCAGTATCTATGATCGGTATAACAAAGCAACGTTTACTCTTAATTTCTCACAAAACATTTATATACTGTGATTTCCCTTGGACAGCCGAGGTCTCTTGATTCCTTCTGGGTACAATGCACACTGGGTAAACAGCTTTGGGGATATTGCGTCTCCCTGTCGTACTCCTTTGCTAGTTGGGAACTCTGGGGTTGTTTTATATATCATTACTCTTGCTTTAGCTTCCTTGTATATATGTATTAGCGAGAGTTTCTATATAAGGCCTGCCAACATCTTGTTTCGCTAGGGCTTCTATTATTGCCTTAGGACATATCGGGGCGAAAGCCTTCCCAAAGTCTATAAAGGGAAACACTCTTTTCTATAGGAGATAGACGAAAACTAATATTGGTGTCTGGAGCTCAATTTTTATCAAAAACATGATGGTAAAACCGCACATCGATATCTGTTACCGTTTCGGAGTTACGCGGTGTTTTTCAAAAATGTGCATTTTTAACAAATCGCTGTAACTTTTTTGCTATGAAAAATTTTGTATTTTTATGAAAATTTCACACCTCTACTTTTCAACCAATAACATGCTTTAATGTTGACTAGTTACCATGGCAACTGAAAAAATTTCCGGAAATTTTTTCGAGGCGCCACGAAACTTTAGTGGAAATTTTTTGACAGTTGAAAAGGTAAACATAAGATCTACAATCATAATGTGAATGAACTACAATGTCTATATATTGAAATATTACCCATTTGAGTTTTAGCATTTGATGTAACTAATTAAAAATATAATAACATTTGTTAATATTATTAACAAATTGAAATTATTTTAAAATGTCATGTTGGATTAATATTTTTTTTTTCAAATTTAGGTGTGAAATTTATAATTCTTACCGAATACCACGCAAGCTTAAATTATTCCTGGAAATTTTCTTTCGGGCACGAATATTTTAGGAAAATTATCCCTCGTCTTCGACTCGGGATAATTTTCAAAATATTCGTGCCCTCAAAAAAATTTCCGAAAATAATTTAAGCTCTTGTGATATTATAAGTGAAAACATTTCCAAAGCACTTTTTTACGTAGAATTTAATGGTGGAAGTATAATTTTTTTAAAATTAATTTGGGACACCCCGTATATTTTTAATTCATTGAAAAGAATTCAAAATTACCTTTTCGAAAATATAGCACACTTGATCCTTTGCTCGATTCCTCTTTGAGATATTATAGAGTTTAATAAAATTCGCAATTAATAATGTAAAATATTTTACATTATTACCTATATAATATGTAATTTACCTAATAAGTGATGCAAATAAATTTGCGGTGAGCAGGAATTAAAACGAAAATAATATTTGCCATAAGAGATGCAGAATTTTTTATAACAATTTAAACTATATTTAACACCACCAACACAATTAAACTATATAATATTTAATTATAACTAAAATAGCAAACCATGACATGAGATTTTCCTACAAGTATTCGACATATATCGACCGTCTCTTTCTCGCGGAATTCATTATCTCAGTTGGGGGTGAAAAATACCCTCACATAACCGCTAAGTACTTCTAATTCTTGTCTAGATTATACGGACAATTTAAAAATAAGAACCTTTATTCTTCCGCAAAGATATCCATAGGATTAGATCCATAGGCAGTCCGGCGGCCTCGACGGCCAACTACTGGGACCTTGGTTAGCTATTTAATTATTCTCGAAATTGGCTGCAACAATTTGTTGATAACTTTAACGTTCTGAGGAGGTGCCTCGCCTTGCTAGAAAAATATGTTTTCGAGTTCCATTAGGGTCAGATCATTAATAAGGGATCCAAAACTTACTAGTTAAAAGTGGCGAACTTTTAAAAATTCTGTATTTCGAAGGGGATTATAACAAAATATCAAGTGTGCTATATTTTTGGAAAGGTAATTTTAAGTTATTTTTAGTTAATTAAAAATAAAGGGTGTCCCAAATAAATCAATCAATTGTCTCAATAAATATAATATAAATGTCCCAAATAAATATCAATTTTTCTGTTAATAACTCCTAAATTATTAATTAAAAAAATATATACCTCTACCATTAAATTCTACGTAAAAAGGTGCTTTGAATATGTTTTTTATAAAAACAGAAATTTTTCCATAGGAAAAAAGTTACAGCGATTTGTTAAAAATGCACATTTTTGAAAAATACCCCGTAATTCCAAAACGGTAACAGATATCGATTTGCGGTTTTTATCATCATATTTTTGATAAAAATTGAGCTCCAGACACCGATATTAGTTTTCGTCTATCCCCTATAGAAAAGGGCGTTTCGCTTTAAAAGCGTCCAATTTGATCAACCCTGTATGTGATCAATCGTCCTGAAGGCTTCTAAAACCTGCTTGTACTCGTGGTTGTGCAGCATCTAGCGTGTTTTGTATTCTGTTGTTTATTATTTTTGTGAATATTTTGTATGTGGGTATGCATATCAAAAAATAATAAAAATATATTAATTTCAATTTTCCTCAACCATGCAATCAACACTGTTTCGTTTTTTCATACTTTTACACTTTAGTTCTTCAGTGTTATGTTTACCTTTTTTCTTTTGAGAACTGTGAAAAAAATAAAATAATAGCTTTATAGAAGAGTCCACTGAGAGTGATTTAAAAAAAGCGTAGAGAAATCATTTTTTTTGCAAATGTAACATTCATATTATTTTATTATACTTGATCAATTTCCGTATTCTTTTTTCAGAGTTACAGCAGAAGTGACAGCCCAAAATGTCACTGCACTTAACGAAACAAAAGATGCTAGCGGCTTTCTACTGAGAGGAAGCTTCACATCCTATGGACATTTAAATCTCGGTTATGTAGGAATATACGACAAATTGCTGTTTAGTAAGGTAATAAAAACGACATTTTTAATTAATACCTTATTAGTCGAGTTATTAGTCCAAAGGACTCTGAAGACTGCCAGAACACTTATTCTATACTAATCTACTATATCTACATATATAAAATGCTAATGTTTATCTGTGTCGTCTCTACTGAAGTATCGACTTGCTCTAGAAAGTTGCTCTTTTTACTAAAAGATAGCTAATTGGCTCTTCTAAAAATTGTTGTCGTCGAATTTTTTGTTTTTCATTTAATTAAAAAAATAAAATAAAAAGTTTTTTTTCTGATGCCGTCGTGGCGGATGCGGCAGGCTTCAACTAGTATGTATATAAAATGCTAATGTTTATCTGTGTCGACTCTACTGAAGTAACGACTTGCTCTAGAAAGTTGCTTTTTCTACTAAAAGATAGCTAATTGGCTCTTCCAAAAACTGTCGTCGCCGGATTTTTTGTTTTTCCTTTAATTAAAAAAAAAATAATTTTTTTTCCTGATGTCGTGGCAGATGCGTCAGGCTTCAACTAGTCTACTAATATACATATAAAATCCCTAAGTGACTGACATACTGATTAATCACGATCCTGCTCTAACCACTCAACGTAAGAAGCTCAATTTTGGCATACAGGTTAATTCTAGGGTGTAGAGGTTCGATAAGAAGGGATTTTTCGAAATTCCAGTTCCAAGAGGGTGAAACCACCCCTCAAATGTTACTATATTTTTTATATAAAAAACGGTCAAGTTTCCGAAAAAACGCTTAGACACGTATATTTTATTTTGTTTTTTTTTACATATTTTAAGATTTTTTAAAAATGTATACAGGGTGTTTCGAAAAATCTGGTCATTGATTAATCACGATCCTGCTTAAAGCGCTTGACGTAAAAAGCTGATTTTTGGAAAAATACATTGACTTTAGGATGTAGAGGTTCGATAAGAAGGGATTTTTCGAAACTAGAATTCTAAGGGGGCGAAACTATCCCTCAAATATTAAAAAAAAATATTTAAAAACAGGTGAGTTTTTCGGAAAAACTCTTAAACACGTATATTTCATTTTGTTGTTTTACATATTTTAAGATTTTTTATAAATTTATACAGGGTGTTTCATAAAATATGACCATTGAGTAATCACGATTCTGCTTAAACTGCTTGACGTTTAAAGCTGATTTTTGGCAAACGGATTGACTGAGGGGTGTAGAGGTTCGATAAGGAGGGGTTTCTCGAATCTCAAATTCCAAGAGGGTGAAAACGCCCCTCAAATATTACAATATTTGTTATTTAAAAACGGTTAGTCCTTTGGGAAAACGCTTGGACACGCATAATTTAGTTTTATTTACATATTTTGAATTTTTTTAAAAAATCATACAGGGTGTTCCAAAAAGTTGGGTAATTTCTTAACCACGATTCTGCTTAAACTGCTTGACGTAAAAAGCTTATTTTTGGCAAACGGATTTTTCGAAAGTCAAATTCCAACGAGATGAAACTACCCCTCAAATATTACCAAGTTATATAATAATATCGCCATATGGTTTTTTCTCATGCTGACATAAATGTGAGAAAAGTATATCCAGTTTGTATGTCAATGGAAATTCTTGCTTTGCTTTATCATCACCGTTACAAATGATTAATTCGACGTGAACGAAGTCGCGGGTACACGCTAGTAATTATATATTATATTTGTATATTAATTAAAAGGTCTCCAGTTGTAAAATGTATTCTATTGTGTTTAGTTCAATTACACAAAATAAATTAAATTTAATCTTCAATTCATTTGCTTCATTTTTCTAAATAAGACAGCAGTTAGTATAGTATGATTATGATTTATTATTTTTTGTATGGATTACAACTCGATTTAATAAAATTCCAGGTGTACTATGCCAGTGATGGAGAACTTCTGCTGAGAGTATACAGCCCTTACTACAAATTAACAGCCATTCGCATCCAAAATTACTACTATGGCGGGTATAGTTCCAGCGTCTCGGTGATAGATGGAGGCATCGGTTATCAGTACGTTGTGATACGCATGCGTTCTACACTCTACACTACGCCTTTCCAATACTGGATTCGACTCTATGGACGCTAGGAAAATGTAAAATATGTTTGCTCTATACATAATATATAGAAATTTGGACATATTATGAGAAAAATTTTTGTTAAAAAATTACTGAGAAATTTAACAACATACACTTTTTTCCATTCCCGTCCAAATTTCTTATACACAGTGTTTAGATAATTATCGTTAACAAAATCTTCTATTTAGAATTAACTATATTTCCAGATCCATTATTATTTCTTATATCTATCTAATAATAAAACTAGTGCGCAATCTATTTATTTTGTATTATTTTATTTAACTATCTATAACCATCTGCAAAGCTAAAATAGGGAATTATAAAAAAATAAAAGTATTTTAAGTTAACGTCTCTTTTTGGCTTCTAAAGGTGCATTTAAACTTGAACACGTACGAGCTGAGCATACGCGAACAGCATTCGTTCGCGCTCTCGGTTTCGTTTAAATTAAAAACTTATTTTTTGATTAACGAAGTGATTCACTTATTATGGTTTCGCAGATATTTGCGGCTTTATATTTCATATGGCCTTTTCCACAGTAAATTTTTATCAAAGCCACCCAATAATTTTTCTCTCGTATTTTACCGTTGAGAGAGCCATATGAAATAATATTGCGTGTATCTGCGAAACCATTAAACATTTTGACATAGGTACTTTAAATACAAAAAATGTTCATGTTTTAATTCTCCATCTAATAAAAAAATAATATACATTAAAAAAACAAGAAAAATTATTTTTTATTTTAATAAGTTTGGCGTAGAATTTTGAACATCCTGTATGATTTAAGATTGCGTTATTTATAGCAAAGTAAGTTTAGACCATCTAAAGCAAATACCTAATAGAGTTTTGATTTCAGGACAGTTCTTGTGTTTTTAATATTTTTTTTAAGAAAGGCTGAAAAACATATATTGTAACGACCTCCCGAGCTGTCCCATGTTCCCCAAATACGATGAACAAACCGACAACGCCGCCCGAGCATTCAGTCTGTGAAGGTCTTGACGTGACATTGAACGCCGGGTGATTTTTAATCGTTTTATTATTGTTTTCTAAGTTTTTTTGTCATTAAAGTAGTTGTAACTTTCACGCGAGTGTGGATTATTTACCAGCAACCCAAAATCCCCAACCGGAATCTTACACTGGCGCCCAACGTGGGGCTGGAAAGATTTGCAAAGTGTGAAAATTGCGACGAATTCCCGGCTTGTCGTGTCGTCGTATTTTCGGCTCCCGGCGCGGCGTTGCCGATTTTGGACCAAAGTACGAAACGCGTTCGTTGACCCCGACTCCGATAACTTCGATCAGCTGATCGCATCACAGTGCAGTGTGTTAAGTTATCATTCACGATTTGACTATAAGCTCCTGCGATTATTTTGTTACGATAATCGAGAGGCCAATAATCGAATATAGTGAAGTGTTTTCAAGCAAAAAATAGGAAGGCCTAGCAAACTGTAAGTACAGTAGTTAGAAAGATTTTGCTTTGTCCACGGTGGAGCATCCCTATCATTTACGATCTCGAGGACCAGTCGAACGCACGGACTCGGAGAAGATGGCGGTCACATTGACGGATGAACAATTTAGACAGCTTCTACAGACACTTACAGTTGCTCCTCAAAATCCAGCGCCTGCTATTCAAGCTTTAAATGGAAATTTTGCAAAATGTTCTTCGCGTTTTAATGGCGACAAAAACTGCGACGTAAAAGCATTTATCGATGCAATATCGATTTATAAAGACTGCACGCAGATTTCAGATGATAATGCGCTTCGAGGTCTTCCAATGTTGCTCGATGGGTTCGCCGCAACCTGGTACCAAGGTGTGAAATCGTCGGTTAATACGTGGCAAGATGCTTTGGACTTACTACGGGTAACTTTCGGTCCGCAGAAACCGCCTTATCGCGTGTATAGAGAACTTTTTTCAATGGAACAAGACGCCGGTACACCTACGGATATTTTTGTCTGCAAATCGCGTTCGGTGTTAGCCCAGCTACCTCCAACCACCCTTACGGAGGAGGTCCAGATTGACATGGTGTATGGACTGCTTCACAGGCAAATTCGGGAGAAGCTACCGCGCGACAGCGTTAACAATTTTAATGAACTGCTTGCTAAGGCTCGATTAGTAGAAGAAACTTTTGAGTTTAAAGAAAGAGCGGATACTAAAGAAACTCTTCGCGAAAACCGTCCTCGATGCCAATATTGTCGGAATTTTGGACATACTAAAGATGATTGTCGGAAACTGCTGAGTTCTAAGCAAAATAAGGACTCGCTTGTCCTTCAGACTCAAAATAAACCAGAAAGCGGTGCCGCTGGTAGTAACACGTCGACAAATAGTGCGGGAAAATACAAGGGTGGCTCTTCGTCTACCTCCCACATGCCCTCGTCGTCATCGGTAAGCTGCTACGGTTGCGGGAAAATAGGATTTATTCGGTCCAACTGCCCAAACTGCAAAAATCTGAGGCTTCGTCAATTGAGTTCTGCAGTTTCGACACTTTGATTAGCCCTCGTGACAGACCTGTTTTAACTATAAATATATTAGGTCATCAAGGTCAAGGACTAATAGATACAGCTGCGAAACAAAGCGTTGCTAGCACGGCCTTGTGCAAAATTCTACAAAGTGAAGGTCACTCTTTCAATGATGAAGAAATAATGGTCAAACTCGCTGATGGTCGGAGTGAATTGAAAAAGGTTTTGACAACAAAGGTTGACGTCATTTTAAACTGCAAATCAATACCTACGAGATTCATTGTATTTCCCGACACAGAAGCTCGAACTCTTCTTGGCATTGACTTTGTTCAAGATTCAAAAATTGTTTTGAATACCCATAAAAACAAATGGGCATTTTCGGATAACCCAAGCCTAGAATTTGACCTTCTTTACGAGCAACCTCCATGTACACCACCTTCAGGCAACGCTGAAATGCCTATGACGTTATCATGTGCGGACATTCTTCGCCCAGATGAAGGAGCTGTGTTATCAAAAAATGAGAAAGAGGAGTTCAACTCGTTTTTGGAAGTTAGGAAGGATATCTTCAAAGTGGGGGGAGAACCAACCCCATTTGCTACACATTACATCAATACCAAGGATCATCAGCCTATAGCGCTTCCACCTTATCGCATGGCCCCTCAGAAGAAACAAGTTTTGAAAAAAGAACTGGATCGGCTTCTGGAAGAAGGAGTAATAGAAGAGTGCGAAAGTGCGTGGGCCGCGCCTGTCGTCTTGGTTGACAAAAAAGACGGAGGTGTGCGTCTTTGTGTGGACTATCAAAAGCTAAATCAGGTTACTACGACAGACTTTTATCCGTTGCCGCGAATGGACGATTTGCTCCATGCAGCTAAACGTACGTTTTACATGTCAACAATAGACTTAAGAGCGGGCTATCATCAGGTTAGTGTACACGAACCGGATCGCGATAAAACCGCCTTTGTAACACCATTTGGCACATTTCGGTATAACCGCATGCCCTTCGGGCTAAAAAACGCGCCATCCACGTTTCAGCGGCTTATGGATCGTTTTCGGAATGGACTAAAAAAGGAAAATGGCAACATAGTAGTACTCACCTACCTTGACGACCTGATTGTGCTTTCAAGTTCGTTTGATGAACACTTAGAAGACTTGGACATTGTGTTTGATAGACTACGTCATTTTAAGCTTCAGGCAAATCGAAAAAAGTGTGTGTTCGCGTGTTCTCAAGTTAAGTATCTCGGACATTTGATTACGACTCAAGGACTCTCAGTGGATCCAGAAAAAACAGTCGCCATAGCCAAACGACCAGTTCCCAGAAACGTCCACGAAGTGAAATCGTTTTTACAAACCGCCAGCTGGTTTCGTCGCTTCATTAAAGATTTTGCTGAAGTTTCCCGTCCTCTTAGCAATCTGACTAAGAAGAATGCAGTTTGGAAATGGACATCCGAAGAACAAGCATCGTTTGACTTATTGAAGTCACTCTTGGTGTCTGCCCCGATCCTTAGACAAAGTGACGAAAACGTTATCATGATCAGAAAAGACAAGACACTCCCATGTATGAAGTTGGAGATCGAGTATGGGTCAATGTTCACGCGTTAAGCGACGCCACCAAGGGACTTACTTCAAAGTTCTACCCCAAACGTGATGGACCATATGAAATCATTAAAATAGTGTCACCCACTAGCTATCAGGTGGCCCAACCTAATGACCTCACTACACCTTTGGGAGTACATCATGTATCATCGCTTACTGCGGCCAAAACTAGGTCGCCTAACGAGTCATCGCCTCCGCCGGTACCAATAGTCCCCATCAGGAAAAGAGGACGTCCCAAGAAGGTTACTGGCCCTTCCTCGAGACGAGTTCAAGGCCAGGGGGGAGTGTGTAACGACCTCCCGAGCTGTCCCATGTTCCCCAAATACGATGAACAAACCGACAACGCCGCCCGAGCAGTCAGTCTGTGAAGGTCTTGACGTGACATTGAACGCCGGGTGATTTTTAATCGTTTTATTATTGTTTTCTAAGTTTTTTTGTCATTAAAGTAGTTGTAACTTTCACGCGAGTGTGGATTATTTACCAGCAACCCAAAATCCCCAACCGGAATCTTACAATATATATATATATATATATATATATATATATATATATATATATATATATTATATATATATATATATATATATATATATATATATATATATATATATATATATATATATATATATTTATTTAAAAATAGCAGGTTAGTCATGACTGACTAAGTTGAAAAAGTAGTTTTATTAGCCTATGTGGTGATTATTGACTGCATCCTCACTTAAATTATGAGTTTTTTTTTATTTATTTATTAATATCTCAGAAACTATCGAAATATATTTTCTCATATCTTAGGATTACGTAAAGTGGATTGAAACGAAGCCAAAAA